TCTATTTGCCAGGAGGTGATGGGACCAGTGGCCATGATCTTGGTTTTTTTTATGTTGAGCTTCAAACTGTTTTTTGCACTCTCCTCTTTCACCCTCATTAAGAGGTTCTTTAGTTCCTCCTCACTTTCTGCCATCAGAGTGCTATCACCTGCATATCGGAGGTTGTTGATATTTCTTCTGGCAATCTTAATTCCGGTTTGGGATTCAGAATTTGGGCTCCCTCGGACTCATTCAGGCTACCCCAAGACCACAGATGGGAATTATCCAAGATCAGCTGCATTGACAGAAGTCAATGAAAGGCAGCTGCCAAGGTTATGGGCACTGCCATTTATATATTCATTTTGTGAGACTTGCCATTGCCTTTTAAACTGACTCAGCTGCTTGTTCTGAAAGATATTTTTATGTACTTTATTTGCAGTGTTCTTTGTAAGTTAGCGAACCAATGCTTTTGATAAAGTAAAGAAAATCCTGGATATTTGTCTCTCTCTCTCTCTTTGTGTGTGTGTGTGTGTGTGTGTGTGTGTGTGTGTTATATACAGACAAGTTATTGACTTTTTAAAAAATGTGTTCAGATGAGTTATCATATTAAAGGCTACTCTTCCTATTACTGTTATTTTTCACATCAGACAACCACCTATCAATCCTGCTTTTTATTATGCTTTTTATCCTTTACTTCTTTCCAAGGAACTGCATCTAATCCAGAGATGCAAAATCTTCCATTTTATTCTAATGGGGTGGAGGTGGCGGGGGGAGAAGATTCCTAATAGCATCAGTTGGCCACCCAGTGAGCCCAACACAGATTTGAACTTAGGTTTCCCTTGAACAACTTTGTACTACTGTGAGGATGAGAATACCCTAAAACAGTGGTTCCCAACGGTTTTCGAGCCTTGGACCAGTTCAGCAGGCAAGGGGGTTGTTGTTCGTACGTGTGTAGGCAGGGTATCTGTGCATGTGTAGGCGTGGGTGGGTGGTGCGTGCATCTGTACATCCATGGATGGGGCATGCATGGATTGGTGTGTGTATGTGGGGGATCATACATGCATACGTGGAGGGGGGGCGGGATGCCTTTCACATTATTTATTCTGCATATAAGTTAAACAAGCAGGGAGACAATATACAGCTTTGTCGTACTCCTTTTCCAATTTTGAACCAATCAGTTGTTCCATATCCAGTTCTAATTGTTGCTTCCTGTCCCACCTACAGGTTTCTCAGGAGATAGATAAGGTGGTCAGGCACTCCCATTTCTTTAAGGACTTGCCATAGTTTGCTGTGGTCCACACAAAGGCTTTTGCGTAGTCAATGAAGCAGAAGTAGATATTTTTCTGGAACTCTCTGGCTTTCTCCATAATCCAGTGCATATTAGCAATTTGGTCCCTAGTTCCTCTGCCCCCTTCAAAATCCAGCTTGTACTTCTGGGAGTTCTCGGTCCACATACTGCTGAAGCCTGCCTTGCAGGATTTTGAGCATAACCTTGCCAGATTGTGAAATGAGTGTGATTGTTGGAGCATACTTTGGCACTGCCTTTCTTTGGGATTGGGATGTAGACTGATCTTTTCCAGTCCTCTGGCCACTGCTGAGTTTTCCAAACTTGCTGGCACACTGAGTGTTATCTTTTAAGATTTTAAATAGTTCAACTGGAATGCCATCACCTCCACTGGCCTTGTTGTTAGCCATGCTTTCTAAGGCCCGCTTGACTTCACTCTCCAGGATGTCTGGCTGGAACAGAGCTCCAATTCCTAGAGAGGCAAGTTAGCTGGAGCGTGGGGGAAGACAATAAGGGATGCACCTCAATCTTCCAAGAAGAGCCTTTATTGGTGAGAAGGGGGGGGCGCTGATGCATGGAAAGGGCAGGAGAAAGAGGTAAGGATTTGACCGTGGAATTATGGGATAGAATGGGGGTGGGGGACCAAGAAGTTGCTTTTGTTGG